CACAACGGGACATTGTGACGAACTTGGAGCTTTTCCAAGAACCCTAAGGAGTCCTAGCCCTAATTTTGGTGCGCCAAATTGGCGAATATTCCGCAATAACGGTTTTTAATGCTTACGTGGCAACTGTACTGTACTTTCATCGGATTGTACGGCACAGCAGCTGCTTCTCGTTTTGGAGCTCGTGAGCGAAACCAGGCAGCAGCGTTTTGGCCATCGACCGTGATCCAAGCCACCGCGGTTGCGGCTGGCTGCTCCCACAACTCGTTCACCTGCGCGAGAAGAAGTAAAATTCGTGTCAAATCCAGATGATGAAACGAGGCGTAAGTTTACCAAGCCGCGAACTCGATGGCAATCTTCCAGGCACTTGTCCGCTTCGAGGACCGCGTGCTTGAGACTCGGTAGCCACTCCTCGAGAGCAACCAGCTCCTGTTCTCTGGTTGTCTCAGCGCACGCATTCGCAGTCCTGGAGCAAAGCATCCAAAGGAGTGAGACATGGAAAACGGTTCTGTTCTTTTGTTTTTCTTACTTTTCGTAGTCGGGTCTGGAGATGTTTGCTGCTGTCAAAAGAGCTCGTCCACTGCCAACGAGGTCTCTCAGCGTCTGAACCAAGTTGATGGAGCGCGCCAGGTTTTCCAGAAGGCTCGCCGGAGAAGAGCAAGGCTTGAGACAGAACCTCAGCGCTTCCACAATGGCTATCATGCCAGCATCTTGTGCTTCAGCTCCTACAATACGAAAACAAAAAAAGAAGAAAACTTGTTTGACGGATGAAACAAATTTACATACCTTGCGAGTATTGTGATGCTGCAGCTATCCGGCAGATTGACGCCATCGCTGAAGGGTCGCCTGCACCAGCTCTGGCAGCAACCATATCGGCATTTCTCTCCGCTGCCGCTATCGCTTCAGGGCCCAGCATAGAGCTGATTCCCACAGCTTCGTTCAGAGCTTCTTCCGTTGCCATAAACTGCTGAACATGAGCTTTCTGCAACGCAAACGACACTTTCATGACTAGAAGAAAGATAAAAGCAACTTGCATTCCGCCATACCTGTCTCTCGGGAGGCTGCATTGAGCCTCTTGAAGAATCCAACGCAGCTCTTGCGGGCGATGGCGACTTATACTGCTCGAGTCGTTCCTTTGATCACCAAAGAAACGGAGAGGATCGACATCCGACCGGACGCAGAGAAGCTAAGGTTTGTGAGTGCTGCTAATCTGCATGAAGTGTAGGATTCTAACTTGGTGTTTGTGGTACAAATAACGAAATAGTGGATGATTTGTGGCAGATTCGCGAGAGAATATCCTCAGCCACTCCTCAAACCCGAGCTTTGCAACCTCGGTGGCCTGAGCGTCACCTTGGCTCTCTCGTCCTTCGTACGAGGGAAACGAGAGCGTGATCTTCTCAGTAAGCTGTGACGATAGCAGCTCGCATGCCTTTCTTATACTCCTTTCCTGCGCAGTCTCTATGAGGATCTGATCGTCACCTTTGATCGACGTTGCATACACTGTGTCTTGCTCTTTCTTGGACTCCGCAAGCTTCCCTCTTTGTGCCTCTCGAGCACGGTCGACATACCTTGCCAATCTTCGCCGGTACTCGGCAAAGATCCGCACAGTCTGCTCGCACCGCTGATCGAAAGACTCAAGCTGGACTTGTTTGTGTCTGGCTTCCAAGAGAGAGAGAGAGAGAGAAAAGTAAGAACTTTGAAAGATCTATAGTTCTCAAGAACTTCGAGAGATCTATATTTCTTACCTCGAATTAAACTTGTCATCCAGAACTCGCTGGCGCTCGCCCTCCTCGCGAGAGAGATCCAGCATCCTGCTCTTCACGTCCTTGTCATCACACCTTTCAATCTCTCCACCTCCTTCTCCGCCGAACCCCTCTCCGCGAGAGCTCGCTCCTTCGAATCATCGCCCTCCAGAGCCTTGCTCTCGCGTTCTTTCTCCTCCTTGGCAGCGGGGGTCTTCTCGCCCCTCCCCTTGAATTTCCCATCGCCTCTCTTCTTCCCGGCCTTGGTGGTGGCAGCGGCGCCGCCCTCCTCCCTGGCTTTCCCATCGCCACTCTCCTCCGCGGCGCCACTGCTCCCGCCATGGACGACGATGTTCCGCCGCAGTCTCCACCGTCTTGTCGGATTTCACCCTCTCCACCAAAAACTTCCACACGGGCAGCATATTTCAGCGGCAGCGCCTCGGGCGACGGCAATGCGTGATCCCCAGCTGATCTGTAGCCGATCTCCTCTTGCAGCCATGCCAGGATCGCCTCCGCCTGTGGCGCAGCCGACGCAGCTCCCTGCATTTGCCCGAATCAAGAGTGTTCGCTGCTACTAGAATGCAGTATCCCAAAATGCCAGCGCCGACGCCGAGATCCGTGCCTCATCCCTGCGCTCAACACCCTGACGATCACTAAGCCCTAGAACATTTTAGGGTGCTATAGAAACTTGGTCTCCGTACAGTTTATCTACCGTACAGTCTCTTACATGCGTTAGAGCTCGGAAGGAAGGCCGTTCTCCACAATAAACTTGGGTAGAGCATGCTCGAGGTAGGGAACCGCACTTCTACGCGTTATAGAAGCACCACGATCAACTTTGACCTCCATAGATTGCGCGTTTAGCTCTTCGAACCACGCATTTGCCCGCTCAAGCTCCTCCGCACCAAAAAGCCAAGTGTAACTCGTTTCGCCTGCAACCGAGTGAGTCTCGCAGAGACATCACAAAGAAGCTCTCGCCTTACCATCTTTAAACATGAGGCTCAGGTACAGGTACACAGTACTCGCCACCTTGTAGCACGCAAAATATGAGCTCAGTCTTTCAACGTTGCAACTGTTGGTCGACTCCCCGATTAGAGCAAACCTGGAGGAACTGTTGGCTGGTTTCATCAGAGCCCGGATAGAGGGCGAAAGCAAACAGCGAACGTCTTCTCCTGGCCTTCCTTTCCCACCGGCCACTTGTCAATGCCCTTGGGTATTGTTAGCATGAGAAAGAACTGCCAAATCAACCGTGAGCTCGATTTTGCAGATTGCAAAATCGGTAATAAGCGAGTGCGCCGCCTTGATGGCTTCGCTACTAAGCACGATTAACTTAGTTGCAAATACATATAACTCACCTTGACGAGAGAACCATAGCACTGACTTGTATAAACAAGGCGGTCACGATTTATCGCCAACTCGATAATGTCAAATGCCCTGCGGATCAGCCGAGTCGCACCGGTGGCCAAGAGCGCCCCTGCCATTTTAAACACCTCCTGCAAACCCATGCCGGATCGCTGCTCCGTCCTTAGCATCCATAGACAATACAAACAAGACGGTTACGGAAAGCACGAATGAATGATCCGGCCTCACCAAGGAAAGCTCCTCCACAATAGACAAGTGCAGAGCAATCATCTGGCACTTCATCAAGAGACACTGTACAAAAGACTCAGATCAAACATGCACGGAAAGAGTTACGACTACCGGTCGTGCTGCATGGACCAACAATGGTTCGAAACCTGATCAAAGTTTCCGAGCTGCAGTTCGGGAGAAGGGCGGCTCTCACCTAGGATGTGAAAATCATAACTGGTGCTTGTTAGTTTACCAACAGCATGAGCATTTAGGGTACCCAGTGAACACCACAGTTGGGTGTTGCATACAAAATGAGCGAAAAAAAGGAGTTACCAGATGCGCAAAACGTTCTAGCTGCTCGCCAAACCCGATGAGCAGCTCAAGGACTTCCCTTGGAGCGTGAATCAGAGCAAAGAGCGGCACTGGACACCAGAGTAGGAAACGACTTGTTGTCAAGCTCAGAGCAGCATCTTATGATAAGGGATAGCAAGACTCCGTTGGCGATGGAATCATCGACAACTGCTCCAAAACACCCCTGAAGAAAGCAGTTCCAAATGAACTAGCTAGCCTACCGTGACCAAGCAGGACCCCGAAAGCTCCACTGCTTGCGTTGTAGGCTCTGGCAGTGGAACATTCTTCAAACGACTGGCAGCAAAAACAAAGTCAGCCAGCTCCTTTCTCTACTTGCGAAGCTTACCCGGATTTCACATCCTTCCGCTTCATCGCCAACAGGATATCCGTGGATTTCAACTGTAACAGGGTTTTGCTTTATATGTTAAACTTTACCCTTCCTTAAAGCGAGTCCTCTTTTTGATTAACTTAGGCTGACACCGAACACATCTTTTATTTCATGAAGATAGAACACACCGCAAGCAACAGAGTCAGAGTCAGGCTGTTTTCTAGCCTGAATACGTTGGACAGTTTGAGAAGCTGCACGGTGCATCACAGATGCATCTTCCAAACAGGGTGCAGCTCCCGCCCCTGCACTTGACGCATCGCTGGCCCGCCTGGAAGAAATGGCAAGACTTGCAATAGGAGTTGCAGCTCAATCCTCCCGGCAGGCATGCATTCTCGCGGAAGCACTGCTGCTGCGCCTCCACCTCCGTGGCCACCGCCGCCAGCGCCAAGAGCACCAGGAACATCACTCCAAATCGCCTCATCGTAGAGCAAAGCATGAGCAAGCAAACCTCTAAATCGGCGACCGATCTCGAGAAAAGCTTGCGATTTTATACAACCGAGTGCTGAGATGATCCGGGGCTTCCGAGTTACTTCCTGGGGCCCCATCTTTCCATCTTTCAAGTCGCAAAGACTTTAATCACGCTGGTCTTCCCACCAAACTCGCCAACTTGTCAAAAAAACGCGACCATTTTCAAGTCGCTGGCACGCCACCATTCTGCTCAGACTTTTGTACAATTTTCCGTGCTTATCCACTCGGCCCGAAGTCTTCCGTGGACCAGAAAATAAGCCGCTCGGGATTCTCGGCTAAAACTTCGACAGCGCCCGACATTGCGAAATCATACCAAGGAAGTCGTCGCAGGAACCAAGACCATATCCTTCTTTGCCACCGCATGGTTTCTTCGCAAGCTTAGAATCCTTTCAGACTATATCCTTGTCACAATGTCAACAGGCTATAGAAAAGTCCTCAAGAGAAGTTTCTCTGCATGGTTTTCGAGGATCACACTCAAGAAACTCCATCTAAGTTGGATGATCCATAGCATAGATATTGGACAAGATGATATGAGCGGAGTCACTGCCAGGATCCATCTCCAGAACGCAAGCAGCCGCGCAGTCGCCCAGCTCCACGTCCGAGTGGATCCTGCAAGAGCTCAACACCGCCTTCCACAGCTCGGAGCTCGACGTGGATGGAGCCACCACCCGGATCAAATCCTCCGCAATCCACGACCCCGCTCGGCCCAGGAGATCCACCACACACCCCTGCTGCTCGCGCGATGGAACCATCCCATAGTCACTCGCGATGGAGGCGAAGCACTGGCAGCCCTGCTCGACGAGACCCGCGTGGCTGTATGTCGAGAGCACGCTCACCAAGCTCACCTCGCTCGGACAAACGCCCTCCAGCTGCATCGCCCGGAAGCACCACAGGCTCCCGGCGGTATGCCCGGCTCGGGCATACGCCGCCACCATAGTGTTCCACGAAACTCTGTCTCGCTGCCTCATCCTGTCGAAGATCTCCGCTGTCTCGACGATCTCGGCACACTTGCCGTATAGGTCCAGCACCGCGTCGGCCACCGCCCTCTCAGCGTCCAGCCCGAGTTCCACGATCTTTGCTCGGACCACTCCGGCCTCCAAGTTCTCGGCTCTCGCACAGGCTTCCAGAGCGGTGGCAAAGCCAACGCCATCTGGCGGGACTGTTATGCGGAAGAAGAGAGCGATGGCTTCCTGGGGTCGACCGTTCTGAGCATAGGCCGAGATCATCACAGTCCACGCTACCACGTCCGAGGATGGACTCCGGCTGAAAATGTCCCTGGCTTCTTCGAGGCAGTGGCACTTGGAGTACATCTGGATGAGCGTAGCAGCTACGGGCACTGCAAACTCCAGGCCAGCTTCCACTGCTGCTGCGTGTGCTAGCTTTCCTTCCCGGAGGTTCTCGAGGTTCGCACACGAGCTTAGAACCGACGTGAACGACTGTTTTGGTAGGCCATCTGTTTAAAGAGTGCGATCGTCTCTTCGAAGTGTCCGTTCTGAGAGTAAGCCGACAGCATCGCGTTCCAGGAAACGATGTTCTTGTTGTGACTGTGAGTCGCATCGAAAACTCTCCGAGCTTCGCAACCCTGGCTGCTGCCGCCAAACATGTTGATGAGAGCGTTGCCGAGAGCTATGTCCAGTTGAACCCCACCCTCCTGGCGGCAAGTTTCAAGATACTTTGCATCCGGAGGAGTTCTCGCTCCCTGGCTGGCATTGATGAACGTAACCGTGTCGGGAACCAAGCCTTGGAGCAGCAAGCTTCGAAACGTTTGAAGAGCTCCACTCGCATCTCTGCTGCTGGCCAAAGCTCTGTTGAAAGCGTTCCAAGACACCACGTTGGTCTTGTCCGTCATGGAGCTAAACACTGTCGTTGCAGCACTGACGTTCTTGCATTTGCCATATGCGTCCACGAGAGAGGACTCTACCATGGCGTTGAACTGGAACCCGCTCTCAAAGAGCAACCGATGCACAAAACCAGCCTGTAACGAGCTCGAGCAACTTTAACAGGCCACTTTAACCAAGATAAAGCTGGATGTAAGATGCTGCTCTGAGCTGGACAACAAGTCGCGAGAGAGATCTTATCTCAGATGCTGCTCTGAGCTGGACAACAAGTCGTTTCCTACTCAGTTTCGCTCAGTTTCGCTCTTTCCTTTGCTTCACGCTCCAAGGGCGAAGTCCTGGAGCTGCTCATCGGCAGCTAGAATGTTTTGCGCATCTGGTAACTCCTTTTTTTCGCTCATTTTGTATGCAACACCCAACTGTGGTGTTCACAGGGTTTATGGAAGGCCTATGCTGTTGGTAAGGTAACAAGCACCAGTTACGATTTATTCTGACAGTCACATTGCAGGTGAAAGCCGCCCTTCTCCCGAACTGCAGCTTGGAAACCTTCATCAGGTTGCGAACCATTGTTGGTCCATGCAGCACGACCGGTAGTAGTAACTCCATGTTCGATCTGATTCTTTTGTACAGTGTCTCTTGATGAAGTGCCAGATGATTGCTCTGCACTTGTCTATTGTGGAAGAGCTTTCCTTGGTGAGGCCGGATCATTCATTCTTGCTTTTCCGTAGTCTCTCAGTGCTATCCGGCATGGGCTTGCGGGAGGTGTTTAAAATGGCAGAGGCGCTCATGGAGTTGGCGGTAAATCGTGATCGCCTTGTTTCTACAAGTCAGTGCTATGATTCTACGTTGAAGCTCGTTAAGGTGAGTTATATGTATTTGCAACTAAGTTAATCGTGCTTCTCAGTTGATATTCAGATCCACGACTCGACGTTCAAGTTACTCAGGGACATAATGAATCTGCTGTTTGCTTTTGCCAGCTATCCGGGCTCTGATGAAACCAGCCAACAGTTCCTCCAGGTTTGCTCTAATCGGGGAGTCGACCAGCAGTTACGGATGGTAAAGATGATCATGTGCAAGAAACGTTGAAAGACTGAGCTCATATTTTGCGTGCTACAAGGTGGCGAGTACTGTGCACCTGTACCTGAGCCTCATGTTTAAAGATGGTAAGGCGAGAGCTTCTTTGTGATGTCCCTGCGAGACTCACTCGGTTGCAGGCGAAACGAATTACACCGGGCTTTTTGGTGCGGAGGAGCTTGAGCGGGCAAATGCGTGGTTCGAAGAGCTAAACCCTATTGAGGTCAAAGTTGATCGTGGTGCTTCTATAACGCGTAGAGGTGCGGTTCCCTACCTCGAGCATGCTCTACTGGCGACGAAGGACCCCAAGTTTATTGTGGAGACCGAGCTCTATGTAAGAGACTGTACGGTAAATAAACTGTACGGTGAGCAAGTTTCTATAGAACCCTAAAAACGTACGGTAGATTTTAAACTCGATCGTCCTGGGTGATCAGGGTGTTGAGCGCAGACACTGTTCGCTGCTACTAGAATGCAGTATCCCAAAATGCCAGCGCCGACGCCGAGATCCGGGCCTCATCCTGATTCGGGCAAATGCAGACAGTCGGAGGCGATCCTGGCATGGCTACAAGAGGAGATCGGTTAACTCAGCGGTCAGAGTATCGCTTTCATACGGCGAGGGTCATTAGTTCGAATCCAATAGTAGGTAAAACCTACAGATCCTTCCAAATTCTTGAGATCTTTCAAAGTTCTTACTTTTTTTCCTCTCTTGGAAACCAGGCACAAACAAGTCCAGCTTGAGCCTTTCGATCAGCGGTGCGAGCAGACAGTGCAGATCATTGCCGAGTACCAGTGAAGCCTACTGTGACCAAGCAGGACCCCCTGAAAGCTCCACTGCTTGCATTCTGGCATGAAACATTCTTTAAACCACTGGCAGCAAAACCAAAATCAACCAGCTCCTTTCTCTACTTGCGAAGCTTACCCGGATAAGTAAACTGGATTTCACATCCTTCCACTTGATCGCCAACAGGATTTCAACTGTGCCGTCTGTGCTAGTAGGCTTAACGACTAATTTTGTCCTTAACATAAGCTGACACTTTTATTTCATGGATAGAACACACCTTGCGAGAAGCAAGCAACAGAGTCAGGCTGTTTTCCAGCCTGAGAGCATTGGGCAGTTTGAGAAGCTGCACGGTGCATCACAGATGCACCTTAAGAAGATATCGCAGCTCCCGCCCTTGCACTTGACGCATCGCTGGCCCGCTTGGAAGAAATGGCAAGACTTGCAGTAGGTATCGCAGTCCAATCCTCCCGGCAAGCATGCACGCTCGCTGAAGCACTGCTGCTGCGCCTCCACCTCCGTGGCCACCGCCGCCAGCGCCAAGAGCACCAGGAACATCACTCCAAATCGCCTCATCATAGAGCAAAGCAAACCTCTAAATCGGCGATCCATCTCGAGAAAAGCTTGTGATTGTGATGAGATGATCCGGAGCTTCCGACAAAGACTTTAATCATGCTGGTCTTCCCACCAAACTCGCCACATGACTTGTCAAAAAAAAACGCGACCATTTTCAAGTCGCTGGCACGCCACCATTCTGTCCAGACTTTTGTACAATTTTCCGTGCTTATCCACTCGCCGAAGTCTTCCGCGGATGCATCACCAGAAAAGAAACCGCTCGGGATTCTCGGCTAAACCTTCGATACCGCCAGACATTGCGAAATCATACCAAGGAAGTCGTCGCAGGAACCAAGATCATGTCCTTCTTTGCCACCGCATGGTTTCTTCGCAAGCTTAGAATCCTTTCAGACTATATCCTTGTCACAATGTCAACAGGCTATGGAAAAGTCCTCAAGAGAAGTTTCTCTGCATGGTTTTCGAGGATCACACTCAAGAAACTCCATCTAAGTTGGATGATCCATAGCATAGATGCTGGACAAGATGATATGAGCGGAGTCACTGCCAGGATCCATCTCCAGAACACAAGCAGCCGCACACTCGCCCAGCTCCACGTCCGAGTGGATCCTGCAAGCGCTCAACACCGCCTTCCACAGCTCGGAGCTCGACGTGGATGGAGCCACCACCCGGATCAAATCCTCCGCAATCCACGACCCCGCTCGGCCCAGGAGATCCACCACACACCCCTGCTGCTCGCGCGATGGAACCATCCCATAGTCGCTCGCGATGGAGGCGAAGCACTGGCAGCCCTGCTCGACGAGACCCGCGTGGCTGTATGTCGAGAGCACGCTCACCAAGCTCACCTCGCTCGGACAAACGCCCTCCAGCTGCATCGCCCGGAAGCACCACAGGCTCCCGGCGGTATGCCCGGCTCGGGCATACGCCGCCACCATAGTGTTCCACGAAACTCTGTCTCGCTGCCTCATCCTGCCGAAGATCTCCGCTGTCTCGACGATCTCGGCACACTTGCCGTAGAGGTCCAGCACCGCGTTGGCCACCGCCCTCTCAGCGTCCAGCCCAAGCTCCACGATCTGTGCTCGGACCACTCTTCCGGCCTCCAAGTTCTCGGCACTCGCACAGGCTCCCAGGGCGGTGGCGAAGGCCACGCCATCTGGAGGCACTGTCATGCGGAAGAAGAGAGCGATGGCTTCCTGGGGTCGACCGTTTTGAGCATAGGCCGAGATCATCACAGTCCACGCTACCACGTCCGAGGATGGACTCCGGCTGAAAATGTCCCTGGCTTCTTCGAGGCAGTGGCACTTGGAGTACATCTGGATGAGCGTCGCAGCTACGGGCACTGCGAACTCCAGGCCAGCTTCCACTGCTGCTGCGTGCGCTAGCTTTCCTTCCCGGAGGTTCTCGAGGTTCGCACACGAGCTTAGAACCGACGCGAACGTAAGCTTATCGGGCTTCACCGTCTTGGTCGAGGCCATCTGTTTGAAGAGTGCGATCGTCTCTTCGAAGTGTCCGTTCTGAGAGTAAGCCGACAGCATCGCGTTCCAGGAGACGATGTTCTTGTTGTGAGTCGCATCGAAAACTCTCCGAGCTTCGCAAGCCTGGCTGCTGCCGCCAAACATGTTGATGAGAGCGTTGCCGAGAGCTATGTCCAGTTGAACCCCACTCTCCTGGCGGCAAGTTTCGAGGTACTTTGCTTCCGGAGGAGTTTTCGCTCCCTGGCTGGCATTGATGAATGTAACCGTGTCGGGAACCAAGCCTTGGAGCAGCAAGCTTCGAAACGTTTGAAGAGCTCCACTCGCATCTCTGCTGCTGGCCAAAGCTCTGATGAAAGCGTTCCAAGTCACCACGTTGGTCTTGTCCGTCATCGAGCTAAACACTGCCCTTGCAGCACTGACGTTCTTGCATTTGCCATACGCGTCCACGAGAGAGGACTCTACCATGGCGGTGAACTGGAACCCGCTCTCAAAGAGCAACCGATGGACAAAACCAGCCTGTGACGAGCTCGAGCAAGCGTTGAGTATAGCCAGAAAAGTCACCTTGTTTGGCACCACCCCCTCCACCAGCATCTTCCCAAAGACTTGAAATGCCTCTCGGGTATGCCCGTTTTGGGCATACGCAGAGACCATCAACGTCCAGGTGATGATATCCCGCTCCAAAACTCTGTCAAACACTGCCTTTGCCGATTCCACGCACCCAAACTTCCCATACATGTTGATCGCTGCGTTTCCAGCAACACGGTCGGAGCCACTCGTTGCCTCTGATAAACACGCGTGAGCCAGCTTTCCCTGTGCGAGGCTCGAGCAACCACTGCTCAAGACTCTCACCAGCACGAACTTGTTGGGAGCGATGCCGTCCTGCTGCATTTTCCGGAAGAGAAAAAATGCCGCTGCCCGCTGCCCATTCTGGACATACCCCGTGATGATCCCACTCCATGTCCCCAGCCCCGAGCAAGAGTTCCTGTTAAGTACTTGGTGAGCTTCACTCAAACATCCAAGCCTCACGTACGTCGCCACGAGCTGGTCCGCTAGCGACGCTTCCAGCCCGTGATTGGAGATGTGGGAGTGAACGTGGCGAGCGACTTCCACGTCCAGGCACTGCAGGAGCAAGGACGAAAGAACCTCCAGACTTGGTTGGGTTACTTCTTCCTTTGCTGCGTGCTTAGAATAGCCTCTCTTCCGTCTTCTCAGCCTCTGCTGCCATTTCAATCGCCTGGAAGTAAGAAACATGAGACTCCCGCAACAATTCTATGAGAGGAAATTCATTGACCTTTACTGATATCTCCCGCATGCAAGCTTCTCGAGTGCCTTTTGCAATGCTTGGATTTCTTTCGTCACTGACCCGACAATCTTGTCAACTCGAGGTCCCTGGCGATTCTCTTTAGCATAGTCTGCTGTTATCGCCAGCGGCGTCTGTGTCGGAACCTTCACTAGTTAGTATAGCAAAAATCGACGAAAAGGATAGACTTGCCTTTGATGGCGTTTTTCTCGTAAATGCCTGCGACTGGACGAAAGGTTCTAAGCTGTGTATTAGATTCGGCTCGTAGTAATATTGACCCTGAAGAACAAATGAAAAGAACTTTGCTTGGTCAATGAAAAAAAGTTTGCTTGACAAATACCTTTTTAACAGATTTTAGCCAGTTTCTGAGCACCGGAAGCAGCGCCAGCAGCTTTCCAGGCTCTGCCTGAGCCGCTCTCGCGTTTTGTAGCGCATGGTGAAGTTCATGCAGCTGAGCTCTCTGTTCTTTCTCTCTTAGATGAGAATCCAATATCTCCTCGTCTCGTCTTGCCAGGTCTCTGAAATCATTAAACTAAGCCCAGTAGTTCAGCCCCGGTATTTGGAACATTATACCGTTTTAGTTCCTGGTGCTGACCTTCTTAAGCAAGAGACTTTGTTCAACGCGTCGTCAAGGCTTTTCTTCTGCTTCTCAGATTGCCTGGCAAGAAATTTAGTTCGAGAAGCGGGCTTGGGATGATGACCACGTACCTCTGCTTCTTTTTCATAGAAAAGAGCTCCCTGCTCAAATTTTCTTTATCCTGCTTGAGCTTTTGCATTTGCTTCTTCAGAAAATCAACGTTTTGTTTCGCTTGGTTGTTTGTAACCAAGGAAAACTCTTTCGTCGTTGGCGGCTGTAGAAGTTTCACATTGATATGGGCGTTTCCGGTAGTCGTCATCTGCTGCCGATACTGAGATTTCAAGTTTAGCATCATCATTTTCATTTCAACTATCTGCAATAAGCAAAAAGAAGAATTTAGAAGACCAAATAGAAGAAATGTTGGCATACAAACAAAACTTGCCTTGACTTCATACTCCGTAGAGCATTCCAGTAGAGCAATCTGCAGCTCTTCAATTTTAACCTTGTAGTCGTCTAAAAGTTCCTCCTTTTCCTGTAATGCGAGTGAGAAAGAAAGCAAGCATGTTAAAACGGCAAACCTTCGTGACTTCTTTCTTCTTGGTGTAGGAAATAAGCTCCCGAATGTTCTCCTCACCTGGATTAAATGTTTCAAAAGTTAACTTAGAAAGCACCGATCCAAGCCTTCTCACCGACGATTGTAGTTGTTTCGGTCCAATCGTCCACTTGATTATTCAGTACTTGAGGAGTACTCCTGTCATCGCCACTGTACGATTCCTTACAAGCAGACTCGGTTCTCTCCGATAAACTTCCATGACGGACTTCTACAGCATCTTTTCCGACGTCATTTTCCAGCTCGTAGTGCAGCATCTGGTCAGCGTACTGTTGAGCCGGTTCTTTTGAAGCCCCTGTCATCACTGGCTCGTCAATTGAAACCAAAGTAGCCTTTTTCTTCGGAAGTTCTTGAGAATATGAAGTACAAGTGCTGGTCAACTCCTGGATTCGCTCCACAGCACACTCAAGCCTGGGAGTTATTCCAATAGCGCTGCTGCCGTCCTCACTAGTCTGAGCGTTGTCCCGATCGGTTCTAGACGACGCACACTGAAGGTCCCCGCCAACACTGCTGTTGACATGGTTACTCTTCAAGTACCAGGAGGAATTCACAACGCCATCGAGTTCCTGGCTCTTGGTCACCATCTCAGCTCGGGTAATCCCTTCGAAGTTGGGAATGACCATCTCGTTGAGTAGCCCAGCAGACCCTGTAAAACTACCCATCTCCGTTCTACCTTCGTTACTATTGCCACTACCATCAATGGCTGCTGGTGCAGTGCTAGTACGTTCCACAACCTGAGGCGAAGAGACTGCTTGATCCAAATGCTTCCAAGTTGGCCTTGCAGAACTCTTGGACGAAGTGGCCGTATTACTCCTGCTGCTGGTGTAAGGCCTGATGATCCTCGACTCCTTTGCGTGGTTCCATTGAACAACCATCTTTTCGATCCCGTTGGCTATTTGCTCTATCACGGTGTAGTCGAGAGCTCGAGGCCGGCCATGAGGCCTGCTACTTCTCACTTGAGGCTTGACGTAGATGCGAGCCATAACTCTTTCGTTTTTCTGTTTCCTCGCGAAAAGAGTAAAAGCGTTCCGCAAAAACAGGGGATGTTCACAACCGTGTGAAGAACGGTTATAGTCGGTAACCGTTGCTGACGTCAAGCGAATATATGAACCATCCTATACGAAAAAAAAAAGAGAACCAGTAGTGAGTCCAATCTAGAAGAAGAAAGATCAAGCGTAAACGTATTGAAGATGTAAACGTACATTTTCTCTGATGATCTTTCTTCGCTTCTATCTCAGTAAAAGCTCCAGAAGTTCAAAAAACGTGCGCTCTTCACTTGATTGTCCCTCAACGGAGATGTTGTCCATGGTGGCTCGGATCTCGGAGGCCAAGCCCGTGTTGCCATTCAGCTCGTCCAGTAGTCTCGGGAGCAGGACAAGAAGTTGTAATCCTCCCCTGAGAAAGGAGACGATGTTTGGTTTCGAGCGAGAGAGCTCCACAAGTTTAACCTGAAGGACGCAGCATAATTAGTCCAGACAGCAAGAGATTTTACCAATACCTTTGACTCTAACGAGATTCCCGCCTTCTGTTTGGCAATTGCAACAGCCTTGGAAAAACCACCAAGAGTGTCCACTAGCCCGCGTGCTGCTGCGGCTTTCCCGGTCCATACACGCCCTTGTGCTACCTCTTCCATTTTTTCAATCTGGAAAATGCGTTTAGGACTCACATCTACTAAAGGCAGAAGTGTGGCTTACTTGCATCGATCTGGAGAGTGCTGCAGTGTCTCTGAAACGTTTGTACGCTGTCTTTGCAGATTTTCCAAAAAACTCCGCTTCTTCGGGTCTAAAAGTGGCCGGATGTCACGGCATGAAGGGAAAAATTGGAACGCAAACCTGAATGGTCTTTGTTCAGCGTCCAGCTCCGCGAATTTTCCTCTTGAAATAACCTCTTTGGTAAAGCCTACTCTCTCGTAAAGCTTACCGAGATTAAGTTTTCCTGTACAAACACTTTAACCACGTTCCTGAGGAAGTAAATTAGTGTACCAGTAACGACCCCAATTGAGCCAGTAAGTGTAAGGCGTTCAGCAACTATTACCCCAGCTGCCATAGCCATATAGTAGCCTCCGCTTGCTGCTACGTCCACCATAGAAGCAATCACTGGTTTTTTCGCTGCCAACAGCCTCAACTCCCTCCACATGCTTCGCTTTCTCAAAAAACACAAAATCAGCACCATTGCTATCATAAACATTAAAACTTACAGGTCCGATGCAAGTGCATCACCTCCAGGACTATCAATTCTGAGAACAACGGCTTTAAAGTTCTTGGCCTCTGCATAAGTTGAAGTCAAGAAAAAAATGGAAAACGTCTGTCTAAACAAGAAAAAGACCTCGTACTTGCCGAATCTGCTCAATGAATGCGTCGCTAGAAATGCCACTTCCAGTGAAGCCCATTTGCTTTTGCCGGGAGATATTACCGACAGCTCGTAGGACTGCAATATCGGCCTTGCCTCCTGACAAGCCTAAGGTCCACTCTCGCACTCTTGAATATTTCCTACAAAAGAAAAAAAAAATGTTCAATCGTTCAAATGAAAGTTGAAAGGAAGATTGACGAACGGCTCACCTGTAGTCGACGTACTTGGGACTTTTGTCATCCTTTATTTGAAGCTTTGCCTTGAGCATCTCCTCAATCTAACATCAATCAGCAAATTTTAAGGGCATTTGAAAAACGCTAAAGAACTACCTGGTCTTCGTATTTCACGTCGCTGATCCACCCTTGCTGATGTAGCTTTTCTATCTCAAATATGCCCTCCTCAAGCAAGTTTTCCACCTCAGCCGTTGTTTTACCTGCGAAGATATTGACTACTTAAACTCTAGAAAGTAGACTGTACCTCTTACAGATGCGATACGGTCGAGCCAGTTCTCGTACACATCATCAAGAATAGCTGTAAGCATTTCTCGATTTGCATCGGACATATCTTTACGAGAGAGTAAATCTCCAACGCTTTTATACTTTCCAATACGTTCAATTTGTGGCTGTACCCCGATTTTCTCAAGCACACCTGAAAATGCGAGCAATGTTATCTCTTTTCATAAAGTGAAAGAAACACTAGCTACTCACCACCAACAAATTGCGCTTGGACTTTTAAGCCAAGCAAAGAAATGTATGCTCCAGGTGGTGCAAACACGTCCCCGCAAGAACACGCAAGGTAGTATTCCTTTTCCCCACCTACTGCTAAGTAGCCAACAAGTGGTTTGCCTGGTATAAAAAAGATGAGAAATTGAGAAACAAGAAATAAGCACATCACCAGATTGCTTGTAGTACTCAATATGTCGACAAATCTCATCAACTTTGGGCCATCCACATGAAAGAGGCTCCACCTGAACGATCACTGCTGCTATGCGAGGATCATGAGCAGCCTTGATCAGATTTTGACAGATTTGTGGAAGCGAGATGCCTGGTTGGAACTTATCTTGTAGCTGCTCTGTGATCTAGATAGACAGATAAAAGACTAAATACCATCACCATTCGAAAAAGTACGTACCTCGCCCGAGATCTTCATCTTTAAAATGCTTCCTTTCTTGACCCTCTGCCATGGCCACGCGATCAGCATCTTGAGCTTTATCAAGAAAACTTGCCAACCATTGGCTGCATGAAACTCGAGCTCGCCGGAAGGGTAATCCTCTTGTCCCGCTGGAGCTGCCGCTCCATTTCCCCCGGCTAAAGACTCCTCCTTTGCTCTGTCACTAGTTGTATCGGCCTCGGACGTCTCAAATGCGCGGCAAGCCACGAACTTTCTCGATGACGATCGTCTGCTCGAGCACCGGGGATCGTTCCAGCACCATCCATTCACAGCGATCTGAAAGCCAAAACGCTTTTAAGAAATGTTTCACTGGATAGAAATACTCACGATTCTCAGGTGCCTGGCATTGTAGTGGAGCGTAGAAGAAGGCAAACAAGCCGACGCCAGCGACACCTCCGCCGCTGCTGGATGCGAAACAATCAAAGCACTGGAGCGCCTGGTCGAGAACACGGTGTCGAAGAGCGCCGCATTCCTCGACATTCTTCCTAGCCCTAGCTACGATCGATCGTCGCGCCTTGCCAGATATCCCTACCGCGCCATCGCTCGCGGAACCCCAAGCTCCCAATCCCTAAAATTCGAACAATGGCGCTCAGAGAAACACGACCAGTGGCAGTGCTCCTCTCCACCCATGAAAGAGGCATCAGACGTAGAATATTCTAGAGTGTGGTCAAGCTAATACCAGCCATTGGATTCATCCAGACGTTTATTGAGCTTAGTTCTTAAAAAACACGCCATTGGAGAGAGAGAAGAGCGCGATCGAGAGGCTCGGCGAGGGCGAGACGCTACGTAATCTCCATCCGGACGGGGACGGCATAGCTCCCAGGTATGAGCGCCGGCAATCTGCCATGGATTGTCGCCAGATTTCACACTGAATCCCTTGTTTCGCCTCCGCTAGGCATTGAATCCCTCGCGCGAGGTCTCCAGGAGTAATGGCGGACCTGGCCGATGTCCCCGTGGACGATCTCATGGGAGAGCTCCTGAGGAGAATGAAATGCGCGAACAAGCCCGAAAAGCGCCTGATCCTTGTCGGTAAGAACGAGAATACTTCTTCTTCTACTTCTTTCTTATCGATCGATTTTTAGGTCCGCCTGGATCGGGCAAGGGCACGCAGTCACCGATCATCAAAGACGAGTTTTGCCTGTGTCATTTGGCCACTGGAGATATGCTCAGGGCTGCCGTCGCGGCAAAGACTCCTCTTGGGATAAAGGCAAAAGAGGCCATGGACAAAGTAACGACGTGTTTGCTTCTTTTCTGATTCCCGGCATTGATTGTTCGCGTTGTCGATGTTCCAGGGAGAGCTCGTTTCGGACGACTTGGTTGTGGGAATTATTGACGAGGCGATCAAGAAGCCGTCGTGCCAGAAAGGCTTTATTCTGGACGGATTTCCTCGGACAGTGGCGCAAGCCGAAAAGGTATTCTCTCTGTGTATATGGTTAGCGTGCTCTATTTGATTTAGCGTAGTGTTTATTCCTCAGCTGGATGCGATGCTAGAAAACCAGGGAAACAAGATCGACAAGGTCCTCAACTTTGAAATCGCGGACCCCGTCCTGGAGGAGCGCATCACCGGGAGATGGATCCACCCAGCAAGTGGAAGGTCTTACCACACAAAGTTCGCCCCGCCAAAAACTCCCGGCGTCGATGACGTACGTTTCCGTTTCTCATTTTTTTTCAGCTTTCTCTTTTGTGTAAGAGTACCTATCCGTATGCATTGCAGGTGACCGGAGAGCCCCTGATTCAACGCAAAGACGACAATGCAGCCGTCCTGAAGAGCAGGCTCGACGCTTTCCATGCACAGACAGAGCCTGTGAGTCCCTTGTGCTTTTCAGAGCTTTCCCTCGTTTCTCTTGGGCTTAGTTAGATCGATTGACAGGTGATAAACTACTACAACAACAAGAATCTCGTTGCTCATCTCCACGCGGAGAAGCCGCCCAGCGATGTCACAGCCGAAGTCCGGAGCGCTCTCAAATCGTGATCCCAAGTTTGCTCGTTCGCCAACAAATAAGAACATGCCGCCATAACGCGCCAAGCTGAACTTATTTTGGTTTCTTTCTTTCTGAGCTTCCCGAGGCTCTGGCAATTTTTGCAGTTTAAATTGAGACAAATTCTTTGAAATCCTTTGGAATCGCGAAGCAAACAAAAGAGCAAACGTGATATTGCCGTCAACAGCAGGACTTGAACCTGCGCGGGCGTTACCCAACAGATTTCAAGTCTGTCTCCTTAACCACTCGGACATGTTGACATTAGTCATGCGTTCTAGATTGAAAGATATTGAATCCTTCCACCCAAAAATCTTGACAAAGCCAAAAAAAATCTTCGCCCATGCACCCCGCACCGCTCCATTTCAATAACATTACACACCAACTTGAGTGGAATGTCTGCGCGCTCGCGTGGTCCCAAAACAAATCTATTATCAAGATCGAGCGCTCACGCAAGCAGCTAGCGCCGCCAGCCAGCCAATCTTGACGTGAACTCCAGAAAAATCCAAGAGCTACTCTGACTGACTTTTTGACTAAAGTGGACTAAAGCCAGTCAGCATTTGTGTGAGTGGAAAGGTTCTTCCTGGGCTCTTGTTTGATTCAAGTGATTGGAAAGTTCTACAATATATACAGTGAAGGACTGACTGCTGGAGCGGCCACCTACACTGTGAAGTCAATCGTTTCATCGCCCACCATAGCCTTCCACATATCGTATAATGGAACATATGTCAAAAGCTCGAGCTGATTCTGTGCAAAGTCAAAAGCTGGCGATCCATGGCTCGATGATAAACTAGTTTGTCGAGAGCGCGCTCTTGAGGACCTTCCGCAGAATCTTTCCAGCGGCAGATTTGGGGATAGAGTCCACGAAGATGACAGAGTGCAACCTTTTGTAGAACACGACCTGTTTCGAGACAAAAAGAAGCTTTCAATGAGCTGACCCAGGAAAAGAACGGATGTTGAAATTGCGGCGCCTCACCTGTTTCGCAATGAATTGCTTGACGTCGTCCTCCGAGACGCGCAAAATGCCGGGGCTTCGCACCACGAACGCGACCGGTAACTCCCCAGCCACTTCGTCGCTCTTGCTGGAACATCCATCCATCATCAGAGAGGATAATCTTCGAAACTCGTACATACCCCACGACCGCAGCATCACAAATCCGTGGATGCGAGACCAAGAGTGCTTCGATCTCCGCTGGCGCAACCTGGATGCACGAAGAATGCCAAAGTTCTCATATCAAATGTGCTATAAGCTAGCAATCTTTTCTCTTTTTACCTGGAACCCTTTGAACTTGATGAGCTCCTTGACGCGATCCACAATGAAGAGCTCCTCGTTGCGGTCGATGAATCCCACGTCGCCGGTGTGGAGCCATCCCTCCTTGTCGATGGTCGCCATGGTGGCTTCCACATTGCGGAGGTAGCCCTTCATGATCTGGGGGCCGCGGAGGCAAATCTCGCCACACACGCCATACGCCAGCGACTCGCCCGTCTCGGTGTCCACGATCTTGGCCTCGGTGTTGCGCACGATCGTGCCACAAGAGCCCGACTTGATCGCGAATGGCGTCTTGGCGAAGGCCAGGCTCATCGAGATGAGAGGGCCGGCTTCGGTCATCCCGTATCCCTGTCCATGAAAACCACACGATCAGTACAAGCTCGTTCTTGCAAGAATCGAAATATCATGGATCCTCCAAGAATCGATAGTGATCTCGAACGAAATATCATGGATCCTCCATGAATCGATCGAAATATCTTCGCGATCGATGGGTCCCGACTGACCTGAGCGATGATCGCGCCGGGGAGCTTGTCGCCGATGGCTCGCTCCAGCTCCTTGCCCAGCGGCGCAGCCCCGGACATGATGAATCGCAGCGAGGAGAGATCGTAGTCGCCGACGACGGGATTCTTGGCCAGCGCCAGGAGAATCGGTGGCACCAGGCACGCCGCCGTGACCTGGAAGCGCTGGATCGCTCCCAGCATGGCGCCGATCTCGTACTTGCGCATGACCACGATCGCGGCGCCGGCGCGGAGGGACGCGAAGAGGACGCAGCTGAGGCAGTAGATGTGGAAGAGGGGAAGAACGCACAGCATGCGATCGTTGCCATGGAGGAAGAGATTAGGGTTCTCGCCATCGACGAGCTGCGCGATACAAGTGATGAGATTCTTGTGCGTCAGCTCGACGCCCTTGGGCAGCGATGTGGTGCCCGACGAGAATGGCAGCGTCACGACGTCCACATCCGCCGCGATCTCCACCTCCGGGCACTCGGATTCATCGGCCTGGAGCAGCGCGCTTGCGAAGAACATCACATTGGAGCGATCGGCGCTCTTCGCCACGGCCTTGATGGGATCGAAGCCATCGCTCACCAGCATTACACATATTTCGCGCTCTCGATCTTCCTGGTGGAGGAGGCGGTCGAGCTTGTCGATCTGCGCGGCGTGCGTCACGATCATCCGGGCACCGGAGCCGCTGGCCTGCTTCTCAATCTCGCTGGCCGTGCACAGTGGATTGGCGGTGGTGACGGTGGCGCCGATTCTCGCCGCGCCAAGGAACGCGAGCACGAATTCGATGCAATTCGGGAGGAGGAGCATGACGACGTCGCCCTTGCGGATGCCGAGGCACGACAGCCCCGCGCCAACGCGCCGCGCGAGAAGATCCACGTCGCCATAGCTGAGAACTCTGCCCGCCTCGGCATCGATCAGGCAGGGGCGGCTCGAAGCCTTCCCCTGGTGGCGCTGGAACAGGTACTCCGTGAGAGGCAAGTGATTCTCAAGCTCGATATCTGGCAGCTTGGATCTAAAGATATACTCTTGGGTGTTGGTGGCCATCCTTTCTATGCTGTGAGAATTTTAGGAAACAATGTGGCTTGTGAGATTCCAAGAGAAGGACATAGCTTTATAGTCTATGTACGGACAGGAGGGTGGCCAAAAGGACAGTTTTGAGCCCTGGGTATGCACAGCCGCAATGTTTGGTATGGTGCGAAGACTACATGTTTGGTAATTAAATTGAAATTCAACCATGTTATATCGTGTGAAACATTGTTGATTTTGTAACTATTGAATCCTTGTTTTCTATTCTATTGTCTCCTTGTTTTTGTCACTGAGCGATAATTTCCACAAGCAACATCAAAACCAGACAAACACCGATCACGTTGACTGTAAAAACCGTGTTGCGCTAGCAAAACATGAGCAACAGTAGTTCTTCTTCGAAACTTCGCAGCAAGTCTTTTCCCTCGTTGCCGATCGTTATGAACAACGCACGCGGCAAGCAATGCCTCCCAATCCACCATGTTATCCTCAAACGGCATGTTGGTGATCACGCAAGCTCGAGTTGACCCACCCTCGCCAAAATGTTGAGAACGCACCTGTAATGCTCTTTTCCAGGCCCAAGCCCAAAATCAAAGCTCATCGACACAAACTGCTCAATCGCAAGCCGCAGCACCCCGATATGAACACACGCAATCAGCACGCTCTTGAACACCACCGCATCCAGGCATATCCCCTGGATCTTTACGGCGTGCAGCAGCCACAGCGCTCGGGCGCGATCCCCAGAATATGCCAGGCTTGTAAGCATCGCGGTCCATGCAACCGCGGTTGGCTGCTGTGGCCTCTGGAAAACAGCCATCGATCTCTCCAGATGCCCAGCTTGGGCATATGCTACGCACACGGCAGTCGTGAGAACCACATCACCCGACGGTGAGCTCGTCCACGCATATTCCACGCCTGGTATATGGGCATATGCCTGGACCATGAGCTTGTGAGAGGCGGGGCTGCGCTCGGGTATACTCTCAAACACTCCCTTGGCTGCGTCAATATGCCCGTTTTGGACGTAGGCTTGTAGCAGTAAGTTCCATGACGATAGATTTGTGCCTGGACAGCGATCAAACAGCGACTTGGAAGACTCGGTGTCTCCACATTGGGCGTGGAGTTTGATCATGGCATTGAAAGTGATGCGTCTCGCTCGGGCATGCAATCGAAGGCGAGCTTTTCTGCTCATTTGTGAGTATCGTGTTTAGAGATACCATGCTTTCGATCAGAGCCTTTGCGGAGTCCATATGCCCGTTTTGGGCGAAAGCGGCCAATGCTGCATTGGCAGAGGTGATGTCGTGCTCTGGGAGGCGCAAAGCGTGAATCTCCTGTTCTTGCGAGCAGCCATGGATCATCGTTGTCCAAGTCACCAGATCTCTCAGCGGCATTGTCTCGTAGAGATCTTGCTCGATCGTGCATGTTGCAGTGCAAGAAACCTTGCAACACCGAGTTGTAGCACAACAAGCTGTGTGAGTGGAAAGGTTCTTTGTGGGCCATTGTTTGACTGACGTGATTGGAACTGACCGCTGGAGAGCGGTCACCTACACTGTGAAGTCAATTGTTTCATCGCCCACCACAGCCTTCCACATATCGTATAATGGAACATATGTCAAAAGCTTGAGCTGTTTCCGTGCAAAGTCAAAAGCTGGCGATCCATGGCTCGATGTTAAACTCGTTTGTCGAGAGCGCGATCTTGAGGACCTTCCGCAGAATCTTTCCAGCGGCGGATTTGGGGATAGAGTCCACGAAGATGACAGAGTGTAACCTTTTGTAGAACACAACCTGTGTCGAGACAAAAAGAAACTTTGACCCAGGAAAGGAACGGATGTTAAAAATTCCGGCGCCTCACCTGTTTCGCAATGAATTGCTTGACGTCGTCCTCCGAGATGCGCAAACTGCCGGGGCTTCTCACCACGAACGCGACCGGTAACTCCCCAGCCACTTCGTCGCTCTTGCTGGAACATCCATCCATCATCAGAGCAGATAATCTTCGAGAAAATCGTACATACCCCACGACCGCAGCATCACAGATCCGTGGATGCGAGACCAAGAGCGCTTCGATCTCCACTGGCGCAACCTGGATGCACGAAGAATGCCAAAGATTTCATATCGAATGTGCTATAAGCTAGCAAGCTTTTCTCTCTTTACCTGGAACCCCTTGAACTTGATGAGCTCCTTGACACGATCCACAATGAAGAGCTCCTCGTCGCGGTCGATGAATCCCACGTCGCCGGTGTGGAGCCATCCCTCCTTGTCGATGGTTGCCATGGTGGCTTCCACATTGCGGAGGTACCCCTTCATGATCTGGGCGCCGCGGAGGCAAATCTCGCCACACACGCCATACGCCAGCGACTCGCCCGTCTCGGTGTCCACGATCTTGGCCTCGGTGTTGCGCACGATCGTGCCGCAAGAGCCCGGCTTGATCGCGAATGGTGTCTTGGCGAAGGCCAGGCTCATCGAGATGAGAGGGCCGGCTTCGGTCATCCCGTATCCCTGTCGATGAAAACCACACCATCAGTACAAGCTCGTTCTTGCAAGAATCGAAATATCATGGATCCTGCAAATATCGATTGAAATATACAAAATATCTTCGCGATCGATGGATCGTGACAGACCTGAGCGATGATCGCGCTGGGGAGCTTGTCGCCGATGGCTCGCTCCAGCTCGTTGCCCAGCAGCACGGCCCCAGACATGATGAATCGCAGCGAGGAGAGATCATAGTTGCTGACGACGGGATTCTTGGCCAGCGCCAGGAGAATCGGTGGCACCAGGCACGCCGCCATGACCTGGAAGCACTGGATCGCTCCCAGCATGGCGCCGATCTCGTACTTGCGCATGACCACGATTGTGGCGCCGGCACGGAGGGACGCGAAGAGGACGCAGCTGAGGCAGTAGATGTGGAAGAGGGGAAGAACGCACAGCATGCGATCGTTGCCATGCAGGAAGAGATTAGGGTTCTCGCCATCGACGAGCTGCGCGATACAAGTGATGAGATTCTTGTGCGTCAGCTCCACGCCCTTGGGCAGCGATGTGGTGCCGGACGAGAATGGCAGCGTCACGACGTCCACTTCCGCCGCGATCTCCACCTTCGGGCACTCGGATTCATCGGCCTGGAGCAGCGCGCTTGCGAAGAACATCACATTGGAGCGATCGGCGCTCTTTGCCGCGGCCTTGATGGGATCGAAGCCATTGCTCACCAGCATTACACATATTTCGCGCTCTTGATCTTCCTGGTGGACGAGGCAGTCGAGCTTGTCAATTTGTGCAGCCTGCGTTGTGGAAGGTAGCAGTTGTTGATCTGCTCAAGTCTCCAAGAATCACGCACCAATCAGTTATGAATAGCCTATATATAAAGCGTGATTGACGTGTGAATGGCAATTTATTTTCTCTTCATGGTATCAGAGTGCAAGCTTGTGGCTTGTTACTTTTTCTTTTCTTTCTTTGTTCCTATTTCTTGCTCTCGTTGTTGATAGAGTGATTGGCTGCTACCATTCTTGCAAATCTCCAACCATGTGATGGCTCAAGGTGTTTTTGGTACTGAAGGGACCAAATGACTTAAGTGTTGAGTTTGATAGGGTTGTGGGACGTGGTCATACCCCAAAGCACTAATTCTTTAGCCATTGAGTCCATTCATAGTAACAGTTAGGAGCAGATTGCTCAAGCCATCATCAGATCAAAGCTAGCAAAGCATTTAACATATGCAACAAGAGACAAGTCTACTACAAAAATCTAGGACCCCTCCTTGTGTGCTATGGGACAAGGACTACTGCAGAGATCGTAGTGATTGAGACAAAAATCTTGTGGAAGTGCTACACTGGCAAGGAGGATTTGCAAGTTCTCTTCCAAGATTTCCGTCATCTTTTTTAGGAACTGGAGGAAAGCAGGTGTGGCTACAATGAAGCTACAATGAAGCAAAAAAAATCCTGACACTCAATAAGGCTTTTGAGAAGTTGAATCAAGCTTTTGCTGTCAATGTCCACAGCATTGCCATTATAATTGATGATGCTAAGCACATGATCAAGGCAGAAATGGATGCTATTTCTTGGTCGGCTGCTTCACATGTGAAGTTTGCTGGAGCAGTCATGACTCAACATCATGGAAGAGGAAGGCCCACCTGAGGATGAGGATGCAGTTGTGGGCACTCATAGGGACGAGGACAAGAACACAGACCACAATCTTGAGCAAAAGGATTCGACAATGAGGAAGAAGATGGCAACTATTGTTACTATTACTAGAAGTTGAATATTGGACATATAAAGGTTAATTGCCTGGTTCACTTGCAAGAAGAAGCAAGAGGAGCAGCCAAGCATCGTGCAACTGCTAGACTTCCTCTATTTGCAACTACTATGGAAGACTCTAGATCTGTGGGAGACTAAAGTGAGGATGATCTAGTAGTATGCTTAGTTGCTAGAAAAAACTCAGTTTTTGATAATCTAATGCTGGACATGTTGTGAAAGATAAGAATTGGTTTGAGGAGGTCAAGCCGAGTAAAACAAAATTCATTCAAATGGGAAATGGAGGATTTTAAGTAGTCAGGAGTAGTGGAAGCTATGTAGTGCCAATTAAAGGGCAAGGAGTCTTCAAATTAAAGCATGCTTTGTTAGTACTTGGCATTGTGCACAATTTGGCCTCTATTGCAACTCTCACTAACCATGGGATGGATGTAAAGTTTATCAACACCAAATGTCTTGTTAAGGGACCTATAGGAGAAGTATAGACTATTAAAAGGGTTTGGAATTTATATGAGCTTCCTGTTCGTAAAAGACATTTAGTTTCTTTAATAACTCCAAGCATTTTCAAGGCTGCAAATGTAGAGAATAAGACAGCTTTTTGGCATGCTCAACTTGCACATACAAATGTGTGCCTTTTAAATCCATTAAGTCACAAAACTTGGCAGATGGATTAGATGATCCACTCTTGGAAGTAGAACATATTTGTCATGATTGTCAACTTGGTAAACATGCATGAAGTTCCTTTCCTCGTTCATCCCGATATACCAAACAACCTTTGGAGCTCGTGCATTCAAATCTTTGTGGTCCTATGCAAGTTCAATCGCTCTTAGGGAAGTTCTACTTCATGACTATGATCAACGACTTCATTGGAAGGTGCATGGTTTTTTGTTTGAGCATGAAAAGTGATGCTTTTGTAGCTTTCAAGATCTTTCTTGAGCAATCTAAGAGGCAGCTAGATAGAAGATTGAAAACATTGTGCTCAAACTCAGGAGGAGAGTACACGTCAAATGAATTCAAGGTTTTTTGTCTTGAAAGAGGCATTCGGCAAGAGTTCACATGTACAACTACACCACAACAAAATGGAGTAGCAGAACGAAAAAATAGAACAATCATGAATGCAACAAGATCCATGATGAAAGTAGCTAATCTTCCCAACTTTAGCAAGAAGCCATCCAAGTAGCAGTTCATGTCCAAAATAGAATCCCTTCGGCTAGAAAAAGGGATGTCATTCCAGAAAAGGTTTGGACAGGTCATCGATAAAGCATAGTAGGCATGAAAGTTTTTGGCTCACTTGCTTATGATAAAGTTCTCAGTGACAATTTGAAGAAGCTTGATGACAAGAGTGTTTTTGGTTTTCTCGCTGGATACGATGGACAAAAAAAAAAGGTTATTGCATCTATCTCCCAAACCAATGTAAGGTGATTATATCACAAAATTTCATGTTTGATGAAGGCATTTTGTACAAAGATCATCATCTTGCAAAGTCTCAATAGTGGGAACCAAACTTGGAAGAGCTTGTAACAACTTCTAAAGTGGACAACCACGAGCTCCTTCTTGATGACTTTCATGGAAATGACCTTCATTGCTCCCAAGTTAAGATTTTGAACAAAATCAAAAAGTTCAAGAGCCTCTAGCAGCAGCTCAAGTTGAAGAACATCCACAATACCATTGAAGGAGGCCAGAATCTCAGAAGTTGATAGCTGAGTTGAATTTCAACACACAAAATAGAGGAAAGGATGAATCTGGAAGACTTGCTCCCCATGAATGAAGATTGATTGAGACTACGACCTCCCAAACCAAAAATCCTAAGCATTCATGTGCCAAGCACATATTAAGAAGCTATCTTAAGACCAGATGTAGAAAAATGAATCCAGGCTATGAAGGAAGAACTTCACACTCATAATCAAAATGGCACTTTCAAGTTGTGTAAAGCTCCACCTAGAAGAAAGATCATTGGGAAGAAATGGGTGTATAAAATCCAATACAACCTAGACTCCACCATCAAGAGGTACAAGGCTAGACTTGTAGCTCAAGGTTTTCCACAAGTTCCAAGTGTTGATTATGAAGAGATTTTCTCATCAGTCGTGAAGGTGGCAAGTTTGTGGACACTTCAAGCTTTTTTTGCTAAGTTTGGTTTGCATGTTCACCACATGGATGTCAAGACAGAATGCCACTTTGAACGAGGAGATCTTCATGCATGAACTAGAAGGTTTTGAGACAGGTCTTGACTTTGTTTGGGAGCTAAGAAAATCCATCTATGGGCTAAAATAGGCATCAAGGGAGTGGTACTGGATATTTCTTGCGGCAGAAAGGTTTGAAAAAGCTCTACTCAGATGGAAACCTTTATTGGAAGCAGGAAAGAATAGATTTTTTGGTCATGGCAGTGTATGTCAATGACTGTTTTCTTGTTGAGTACCTTAAAAAGGTCAAGTAGATTTTGATGTAGCGGTATAGGATGACAGATCTTGGGAAGGTCCAGAAAATTCTTAGTATGGAAGTTCATTAAAGTCTAGATGCATTGCAATCACACAGTGTGCATAGGTTGATAAAATACTTCATGAACACGACATGACAGAGTGCAAGTCTACTCCAACACTAATGGTCTTTGGTACAAAACTCTCTCAATGTTCTGAGCTTGGGGTACTCCAAGATATCAGACTATACCAAAAACTTGTTGGTAGCCTCTTATACATCTCCACCTGTACATGGCCTGACATTGCTTTTGCAGTTGGAGTACTCAATCGCTACACCTCTTATCCGATAGAGAAACATATGAAAGCAGCCAAACAAGTATTGAGATATCTCAAAGGGACTAAGCAGTTTGGTTTAGTCTACAAAAGAGACAACAGCTCTACACTCAAACTCATTGCATCAACATTTGGAGTATGTTGTCTACTTTTTGGGGTAGTAGTGAACTGGCTGAGTAAAAAGCAAATTGTGGTGGCTCTTTCCAGTGCAGAAGCAGAGTATGTAGCAGCTTCAGCAGCAGCAAAGGAGATAGTATGGCTAAGGCTTATACTACAAGAACTTGGACAGGAGCAAAAGGATGCCACTCCACTGTTTACAGACAGCAGAAGCTGCATTGCCATCTCAAAAAATCTAGTGTTTCATAGGTAGACAAAGCATATAGAGATCCAATATCATTTTGTTTGTTCGAGAAAAGACAAGTGACCCTGGAGTATATTCCAACAAGGCAGCAAACAGCAGACATCCTTACGAAGGCATTGGGTGAGGCACAGTTTTTCCACCTCAGGAGAAAATTTAGAGTACGTGAAGTGTGTGGAAGGTAGCAGTTGTTGATCTGCTCAGGTCTCCAGGAATCACGCACTAATCAGTCAGGAATAACCTGTATATAAAGTGTGATTGACATGTGAATGGCAACTCGTTTTCTCTTTATGCATCACGATCATATGGGCACCGGAACCGCTGGCCTGCTTCTCAATCTTGCTGGCCTTGCACAGTGGATTGGGGATGGTGACAGTGGTGCCGATTCTTGCCGTGCCAAGGAACGTGAGCACAAATTCGATGCAATTCGGGAGGAGCATGACGATGTCGCCCTTGCGGATGCTGAGGTGTGACAGCCCCACACCAACGCGCCACACAAGAAGATCCACATCGCCATAGCTGACAACTCTGCCTGCCTCGGCTCGAAGCTTTGCCCTGGTGGCGCTGGAACAAGTAATCCGTGAGAGGCAACTGATTCTCAAGCTCAATATCTGGCAGCTTGGATCTAAAGATATACTCTTGGGTGTTGGTGGCCATCCTTTCTATGCTGTGAGAATTTTAGAAAACAATGTGGCTTATGAGATTCCAAGAGGACATAACTTTATAGTCTGTGTACGAACAGGGTGGCCAAAAGGACAGTTTTGAGCCCTGGGTATGCACAGCCGCAATGTTCTATATGGTGAAGACTACGTTTTTGGTAATTAAATTGAAATTCAACCATGTTATATCGTGTGAAACATTGTTGATTTTGTAACTATTGAATCCTTGTTTTCTATTCTATTGTCTCCTTGTTTTTGTCACTGGGCGATAATTTCCACAAGCAACATCAAAACCAGACAAACACTGATCACGTTGACTGTAAAAACCGTGTTGCGCTAGCAAAACATGAGCAACAGTAGTTCTTCCTCGAAACTTCGCAGCAAGTCTTTTCCCTCGTTGCCGATCGTTATGAACAACGCACGCGGCAAGCAATGCCTCCCAATCCACCATGTTATCCTCAAACGGCATGTTGGCGATCAAATCTTCCGCAAGCTCGAGCTGACCCACCCTCGCCAAAATGTTGAGAACGCACCTGTAATGCTCTTTTCCAGGCCCAAGCCCAAAATCAAAGCTCATCGACACAAACTGCTCGATCGCAAGCCGCAGCACCCGAATATGAACACAAGCAATCAGCAAGCTCTTGAACACCACCGCATTCAGGCATATCCGATGGATCTTTATGGCGTGCAGCAGCCACAGCGCTCGGGCGCGATCCCCAGAATATGCCAGGCTCGTGAGCATGGCGGCCGCGGTTGGCTGCTGTCGCATACTCTTGAACACAGCCATCGATCTCTCCGGATGCCCAGATTGGGCATATGCTACGCACACGGCAGTCGTGAGAACCACATCACTCGACGGTGAGCTGGTCCACGCATATTCCACGCTTGGTAGGGCATATGCCTGGACCATGAGCGTGTGGGGCTGTGCTCGGGCATACTCTCAAACACTCCCTCGGCTGCGTCAATATGCCCGTTTTGGACGTAGGCTTGTAGCAGTAAGTTCCACGACGATAGATTTGTGCCTGGACGGCAATCAAATAGCGACTTGGAAGACTCGGTGTCTCCACATTGGCGATCATCGCAGTCGAAGGCGAGCTTTGCTCCCTCGACCTGGTGCTCGTTTGTGAGCATAGAGATACCAAGTCTCTGGATTCCATGCTTTCGAGCAGAGCTTTTGCGGAGTCCATATGCCCGTTTTGGGCGAAAGCGGCCAATGCTGCATTGGCAGAGGTGATGTCGTGCTCTGGGAGGCCGTGGAGCAAAGCGTGAATCTCCTGTTCTTGCGAGCAGCCATGGATCATCGTCGTCCAAGTCACGAGATCTCTCAGTGGCATTGTCTCGAATAGAGATATTGCTCGATCGTGCATGTCGCAGTGCAAGAAACAGTTGCAGCACAACAAGCTGTGTGAGTGGAAAGGTTCCTCCGGGACTCTTGTTTGATTGAAGTGATTGGAAAGTTCTACAAATTATACAGTGAAGGACTGACTGCTGGAGAGCGGCCACCTACACTGTGAAGTCAATTGTTTCATCGCCCACCATAGCCTCGTATAATGGAACATATGTCAGAAGCTCGAGCTGGTTCCGCGCAAAGTCAAAAGCTAGCGATCCATGGCTTGATGTTAAACTAGTTTGTCGAGAGCGCGCTCTTGAGAACCTTCCGCAGAATCTTTCCAGCGGCGGATTTGGGGATGGAGTCAACGAAGATGACAGAGTGTAACCTTTTGTAGAACACAACCTGTGTCGAGACAAAAAGAAACTTTCAATGAGCTGACCCAGGAAAGTAACGGATGTTAAAAATTCCGGCGCCTCACCTGTTTCGCAATGAATTGCTTGACGTCGTCCTCCGAGACGCGCAAACTGCTGGGGCTTCGCACCACGAACGCGACCGGCAACTCCCCAGCCACTTCGTCGCTCTTGCTGGAACATCCATCCATCATCAGAGCAGATAATCTTCGAGAAAATCGTACATACCCCACGACCGCAGCATCACAAATCCGTGGATGCGAGACCAAGAGCGCTTCGATCTCCGCTGGCGCAACCTGGATGCACGAAGAATGCCAAAGTTCTCATATCGAAAGCTAGCAAGCTTTTCTCTCTTTACCTGGAACCCCTTGAATTTGATGAGCTCCTTGACACGATCCACAATGAAGAGCTCCTCGTCGAGGTCGATGAATCCCACGTCGCCGGTGTGGAGCCATCCCTCCTTGTCGATGGTCGCCATGGTGGCTTCCACATTACGGAGGTACCCCTTCATGATCTGGGGGCCGCGGAGGCAAATCTCGCCACACACGCCATACGCCAATGACTCGCCCGTCTCGGTGTCCACGATCTTGGCGTCGGTGTTGCGCACGATCGTGCCGCAAGAGCCCGACTTGATCGCGAATGGCGTCTTGGCAAAGCCCAGGCTCATGGAGATGAGAGGGCCGGCTTCGGTCATCCCGTATCCCTGTCCATGAAACCACACGATCAGTACAAGCTCGTTCTTGCAAGACCACGAATCGATCGAAATATTCATGATATCTTCGCGATCGATGGGTCCCGACTGACCTGAGCGATGATCGCGCCGGGGAGCTTGTCGCCGATGGCTCGCTCCAGCTCCTTGCCCAGCGGCGCGGCCCCGGACATGATGAATCGCAGCGAGGAGAGATCGTAGTCGCCGACGACGGGATTCTTGGCCAGCGCCAGGAGAATCGGTGGCACCAGGCACGCCGCCGTGACCTGGAAGCGCTGGATCGCTCCCAGCATGGCGCCGATCTCGTACTTGCGCATGACCACGATCGCGGCGCCGGCGCGGAGGGACGCGAAGAGGACGCAGCTGAGGCAGTAGATGTGGAAGAGGGGAAGAACGCACAGCATGCGATCGTTGCCATGCAGGAAGAGATTAGGGTTCTCGCCATCGACGAGCTGCGCGATACAAGTGATGAGATTCTTGTGCGTCAGCTCCACGCCCTTGGGCAGCGATGTGGTGCCGGACGAGAATGGCAGCGTCACGACGTCCACTTCCGCCGCGATCTCCACCTTCGGGCACTCGGATTCATCGGCCTGGAGCAGCGCGCTTGCGAAGAACATCACATTGGATCGATCGACGCCGGGATGGCTCTTCGCCGCGGCCTTGATGGGATCAAAGCCATCGCTCACCAGCATTACACATATTTCGCGCTCTTGATCTTCCTGGTGGAGGAGGCGATCGAGCTTGTCGATCTGCGCAGCCTGCGTCACGATCATCCGGGCACCGGAGCCGCTGGCCTGCTTCTCAATCTCGCTGGCCGTGCACAGTGGATTGGCGGTGGTGACGGTGGCGCCGATTCTCGCCGCGCCAAGGAACGCGAGCACGAATTCGATGCAATTCGGGAGGAGGAGCATGACGACGTCGCCCTTGCGGATGCCGAGGCGCGACAGCCCCGCGCCAACGCGCCGCGCGAGAAGATCCACGTCGCCATAGCTGAGAACTCTGCCCGCCTCGGCATCGATCAGGCAGGGGCGGCTCGAAGCTTTCCCCTGGTGGCGCTGGAACAGGTACTCCGTGAGAGGCAAGTGATTCTCAAGCTCGATATCTGGCAGCTTGGATCTAAAGATATACTCTTGGGTGTTGCTGGCCATCCTTTCTATGCTCAAAAGAACAGTTTTGAGCCCGGGGTACGCACAGCCACAATGCTTGGTATGCTACGTTTTTTGTAATTAAATTAAAATTAAAATATGTTATATCGTTTAGCAAAAGGAGCGATTGCCGAACTTTATGGGCCGCCAGATCTGGCCAATCGGCACCGTCGGATACGGCTATTACCCACCCAAACAAAAAAAAATTTAAAAAAACATCAGAAAGTAAAAAACTTACCATCCTAGTGTACAGGGGATGTACACGAGTACAGCATACGGATACAGCGAGAGAGACGTTGGAAGAAACGCACTTCTGCCAGGGCATCCAGGAGAGAGCTGGCCAATCCCTTTCCTCTACCCATCATCCAATCGCGAGCCAAGCTTTATATACCTAGTGCAAGCACACACATTTGCGGCTGTGACCCGTGGATTTTGAGCTGAGTCGGCAAAGGCCTAGGCACAGAAGAGCCATACGACCTGCAAATCGATTGGGCTATAGCTCACACAGCAATCAGCGTCAATCCAGTGCGCAAGCAAGTAAAATCATTTCTCAATGGTCTCAGCTATCATTTTAGCACGTGTGTACCACGACATCCTCGTGCTCGAGGGGTGCCAGCTCCCATCTCTGGTGCTGCGCAGTGCTGGTTAAGGGAGGAGCTGTGCTAAAGCAACATTTTATCCCTCCTAGGGCGCGCAAACAAACAAGTGTCGCTCATACCTTCTCCCCTAGCCCGGCTGTGCGGTTGAACTACGTGTAGTAAAAGAGTAATATTTACAATGGGAAGTGTAATATCCAAAGATCTTGGGTGGCAATGCACGGTGTAGAGATCTGCATTCTATTTTAATGGTTTTCCCCATGGTTGACTGGGGATAAGTCCATCGTCGCGCTCCGATGGTTGTCCTTCCGATCCTTCATGCAAAGTATCCAGCAGCTCTTGAGAAGCTGTCCAGATCTATGAAGTCTGCGATGGAAAGAGAGGCTACTAGCTGGAGAAGGTTCACTACGATTTGCTGGAAATTCTGTTTTCAAAGAAACAAATATATTTCCTTTTATCTGAGCGATGATTTCCAGAAGCAATATCAGAAATGTGTATGCAAACAATCACGTTGACTGTAAAGACCGTGTTGAACACAAATTCGCTAGCAAAACATGAGCAACAGTAGTTCTTCTTTGAAACTTCGCAGCAAGTCTTTTCCCTCGTTGCCGATCGTTATGAACAACGCACGCGGCAAGCAATGCCTCCCAATCCACCGTGTCATCCTCAAACGGCATGTTGGCGATCAAATCTTCCGCAAGCTCGAGCTGACCCACCCTCGCCAAAATGTTGAGCACGCACCTGTAATGCTCTTTTCCAGGCCCAAGCCCAAAATCAAAGCTCATCGACACAAACTGCTCAATCGCAAGCCGCAGCACCCCGATATGAACACACGCAATCAGCACGCTCTTGAACACCACCGCATCCAGGCATATCCCCTGGATCTTCACGGCGTGCAGTAGCCACAGCGCTCGGGCGCGATCCCCAGAATATGCCAGGCTCGTGAGCATGGCGGTCCACGCAACCGCGGTTGGCTGCTGTGGCATACTCTGGAACACAGCCATCGATCTCTCCAGATGCCCGGCTTGGGCATATGCTAAGCACACGGCAGTCGTGAGAACCACATCACTCGACGGTGAGCTCGTCCACGCATATTCCACGCCTGGTATATGCCTTTCCAGGGCATATGCCTGGACCATGAGCGTGTGAGAGGCGGGGCTGCGCTCGGGCATACTTTCAAACACTCCCTTCCCTGCGTCAATATGTCCGTTTTGGACGTAGGCTTGTAGCAGTAAGTTCCACGACGATAGATTTGTGCTTGGACAGCGATCAAAAAGCGACTTGGAAGACTCGGTGTCTCCACATTGGGCGTGGAGTTTGATCATCGCATTGAAAGTGATCACGTCTCGCTCGGGCATGCGATCGAAGGCGAGCTTTGCTGCCTCGACGTGGTGCTCGTTTGTGAGCATGGTGTTTAGAGATACCAAGTCTCTAGATTCCATGCTTTCGAGCAGAGCTTTTGCGGAGTCCATATGCCCGTTTTGGGCGAAAGCGGCCAATGCTGCATTGGCAGAGGTGATGTCGTGCTCTGGGAGGCCGTGGAGCAAAGCGTGAATCTCCTCTTCTTGCGAGCAGCCATGGATCATCGTCGTCC